CATTCCCTCTACAGTGGGGGAAGGCTGCTTAACTATTTCAGGGTAGGGTATAGTCATGCACTGCATAGTGAATGGTTTTTGGAAGTGTCTATTGTATAAAAAACTCAATGTGGCAATAAAAAAAAATCCAACTGCATAAAATCTTTCCAGACACAAGAATAGTATAGACAATCTTAACATCATTAATTAATTCCACAAAAATACATTAGGCAGAACACCATGTTAATGGGGATTGTCTAGAAAGCATTAATAACATTAATACAGGGGGTAGAGCCAAGATGGTGGAGTGAAAGCAGTGACTTGCTTGAGCTCTCCCTTAAACCCCTCCAAATACCTATAAAAAATGGCTCTAAACAAATTCTAAAACAGTAGAACCCACAAAAGGCAGAGTGAAACAAATTTCCAGCCCAAGACCACCTGGATAGTTGATTGGAAAGGTATATCTAGTTGGGCTGGGAGAGGAGTACTGTTTGGTGTGGGCCCTCAGGCCACAGTGAACCTGGAGCAGGCCTCAGAGGACTGAATTGCAGGCAGCTGTGGCAGTTTCCAGACTTCTCAACCCATGAACGCCAAAGACAACTTAGAAGGTCAGTGGGAAAAGTCTGTTTCTGCATTGCTGAGAGATTTAGCAGCTTCTACATTAAGAGACTGCAGGGCATGGAATATAATATTCTGCAGGGCAAAGGAGATAGGATTACAAACAAGAATCACCTACCCAGCAAAACTGAGTATAATCTTTCAGGGGAAAAAATAGTCATTCAGTGAAATAGAGGACTTTCAAGCATTCTTGATGAAAAGACCAGAACTGAATAGAAAATTTGACTTTCAAATACAAGACTCAAGTGGAACATGAAGAGGTAAACAGGAAAGAGAAATCATAAGAAACTTATTAAGGTTGAACTGTTTACATTCCTGCATGGAAAGATGAGACCTTTGTCAGTATTAGGGTAGTTGGAGGGCAAAAAATATATGTATGTATAGATATAGATATAAATATAATATAGATATAGATAGAGGGCACAGGGTGAGTTGAAGATGAAGGGATCATATCTGGAGAATAAAAATAAGGGGTGATAGAGGATTATACTGGGAGAAGGAGAAAGAGAGAGGTAGAATGGGGTAAATTGTCTCACAAAAAAACAGAAAAGAAAAGGCTCTTACAGTGGAGGGGAAACGGGAAGGTGAGAGGGAATAAGTGAATCTTATTCTCATAGGATTTGGTTTAAGGAGGGAATTACATACATGCTCACTTGGGTATGGAAAGCTATCTTACTCTATAGGAAAATAGGGGGAGAAAGGCACAAGAGAGCAGGGGAATGATAGAAAGGAGGGCAGATTGGGAAAGTGGGTGATCAGAAGCAAACACTTCTGAGGAGGGATAGGGTCAAAAGAAAGAATAGAATAAATGGAAGTCAGAATAGGGTTAAGGGAAATAGAGTTAATTTTTCACAGCATGACTACGATGGAAGTGTTTTGCATGACTGCACATGTATAACCTATATTGAGTTGCTTGCCTTTTCAATGAGGGTGGGTGGGGAGGGAGGAAGGGAGAAAATTTGGAATCCAAAGTTTTAAAAACACATATTTTTAAAAAGTTTTCACATGCAACTGGGAAATAAGAAATACAGGAAATGGGGTAGAAATCTATCCTGCCCTACAGGAAAGCAAAAGGGGAAGGGGATAAGAGAAGGGGGAGAGAGATAGATGGGAGGGTAGACTAGGGAAGGGATATTCAGAATGCATGCCATCTTGGGTTGGGGGGAAGAGGGAGATGGGGTGAAAATTTGGAACTCAAAATCTTGTGGCAGTAAATGTTGAAAACTAAAAATAAATTTAAAAAGAAAAAAAATTTAAAAAACAGAAAAAAATACATAAAAAAGAGAGAAAAAATACATTTGATAGGAATATATATGTAGAGTCTATACCAGATCACCTTTTGTTTTGGGGAGGGAGCAGGAAAGAGTGGGGGAGAAAATTTAAAACTCAAAAGCTTATGCAAGTGATTGTTGAAAACTAAAAATAAATAAATTAATTTTAAAAAATAACATTAATACAAAAAACAGTATTAGGTAGGGTGACCTTATGAGGGATAGTTATGCCTGTAGAAGGAAAGCCTGTATTTTCATTATATTAATTTATGTTTGTCCCTGGTCTTTTTCAAGACCCATTCAGTTCTGTCCAACTTAACAAATATTTGACACCACGTGCTAATCACTGTTAATTAACATAGTTGAGTTCCCATAATTTGTACTGTATTTCTAAAAATTTTTCAAAAAATCTTAGTAAAAATTCCTATTGTTTCCTATAAAACACCCTCGAGGGCAGGTACCCGACCTTGAGAGGTACCAGACCTTGACTTTTATAGATTACCTTTTCAAAGAGGTCAGTGCTTAGCACTATAGAGTCATAAAGTTAGAGCTGGAAAAGCTCTTAGCTTAAAGCTGATCAAACTCAGTCTCTTAATTTCACAGATGTGGAAATTGGAGCCCAAGGAGGTCAAATAATCTGCCTAGGTGTAAACAGGTTCTAAATAGTAGAGCCAGAATTCAAATCCAGGTCCTCTAACCATAGATGTGGAATCCTATTTACCAAATTATGAGTCCTCTTTCTAAGACTCTCTATGTATAATATACATCATTTCCTTAGACAAAATTATTAATAAAGGCTTAACAACATTGAAGATGCCTCCTAGGTTAATGCCTAAGCTAATCAAGTTTAATTAGTGGAGGCTTGCAAAATTTTGAGGAGGGTTCAAAAAAGCCTTTTTGGAGCCATTGTCTGATGCATAAATAGCATTTTTTTAAAAAAAATTCACAAAAGAATTGCAAACTATTAATAACCCTGTGACAGCTTGCTTTAATTCCTTAATGAAAACAACTCTGGAGTTTCAGTTCACACCCAATAAACTGGCACAAATGTCAAAAGATGGGAATACTCACTGTTGAAAGGGCTAGGAAAGACACATGTACTAATACACTGGTGGTGGCGTTAAAAATTGGTTCATCGCTTCTGGAAACCAATTTGGAATTACCATTTAGAGAGTGACTAGAATGGTCATATGCTTTGACAGACAGATCCCAGAGCTAGGCATATACCCCTAGGAGACAGAAAGAGAGGTCTCAGATAAATCAAATAATTCAATTAGTATTTTTTAGCAGGACCAATAAACTGGACTAAAGTAGATTCTCATCAGTTGGGGAATATCTAGACAAATGCGAATATTACCATGGTGTGAGAATCAATAAATATGAAAAATTTAGAAAAGCATGGGAAAATAAGTGTGATTAACTCAACATAAAGTAAACAATGTACACAATGACTACAATAATATAAACAGAAAGAACAAAAAATATGAAACTGAACACTAGGCAATCATAATGACCAAGCTTTAGCAACTGGAAAAGAATTTTTAAAAAATGTATTTCCCCTCACTTTTTGTACAGGGGTGGGACTATGGGTTTGAAATGTTTCATGTATTGTCAGACAAGTGAAGCATCCCATCTGTGTTCCAGATCCCACTGCAATTTGGTGTCTCCAGTGGGCAATCACTGCTACTACTCTCAGAGTTCTAGGAATAATGCTGAGGGGCTGGGTTGTTCTAGTACAATTGTTCATGAGCCCCCACCAGTATGTTTCACATTGATTACCAACCAGACAATTTTTAGAAAGAGTATTTACTAAGCAGGTATAGAAAATACAGTCTTCATAAAACAACCACTCTTCTTGATGTACCCCCTTCTATAGACAAGGTTTCTCAAGAGAATAAGCTCAAACTTATACTAAAGTAGTAGTAAACTACATGCATAGAGAACTCATGTGGCAAAGGGTTTTTGGTTGCTAAGAGGTTCTTTCATTCTTTGTAGAGTCATTATATGTTTTACTTAGGTGTTGCTGTCTGCTGGGCTCTTGAGATCAGTGCTTTTTGTTGAGTCCCATAGCTTATATTTCTCTTTGCCTGAGGAAATATGTTCCCTAAAGTTTCTTTCCTAGGTGTTTCTAATTTGTCCTTGATAAATCTCTCTGTAACTAGTACAGACCTTGCCATCAGCCATTGCTACTATAGAAACATTTCTACTGACACCTGAATTCCAGATCTTCTTGTCTTTAAAAGTTCACAAGGTAAGTCACCTAGTCAAAGATGGGGGGAAGAGGTGAGAGATTCTCACTCACCTCCCTACCAAGGGCAATTCCCTCTTAGGAGCTCTTCACAATTGGATTGGATCACAACTCAGCTGAATGGCTCCTTATTAGCTTGCTGTTTATACACAGCCCCACTGTGTGTGACTCATTCTTTTAGCCAATAACAAGAATTTCCTGTGAGGCATCATTATCCAATGATCAAAGAACTATATTTCTCTCAAATTAATTAAGGACTTGCTGCACTTAGTTATATTTTTGATAGATTAATTGACTGAATCACTATTCTGGACTCTCTTTGCTTACATTGCCCTTATATATGGTTGGTATATTGGTTGATTTTGACAAATTGCTTTTGAAATTTCTTTTTTTTTTTCCTTAAGGGAGGACTTGCTCACTAGGGCAGATAGCAAGGATAGCTTTGGTAATAAAGGAGATATAAAAAAAATTAATAAAAAGATATAGAGAAGACTCTTTTTGGTTGCTTTGAATAAGGGCAAGTATTTCATTGCCATTTTATTTAGTCCTTACAGAATATTTATTATAGTTTGCCATCAGTGAGTAAAATTATCTGTTTTCAATAAGCAATGAAAGGAATTGTTAGCCTTGGAACATCCATAAGTCATTTATTTAAAGCTTGATTGCTGAATGATTCATCAGCCAGCAGTCACACACCCAAAATGGGCTGGCACACTCAAAATAAGGTGGCAACCTACCATGTGTAAATATTGACAAATAACTTGCCTTTTCACCATATTCTCATTCTGTTATCAATCTTAAAGGTCAAATGGAAATAATTTAGGATGTTTACAGAAATTTAAAATATAACTAAATAGGTTTTACTTCATTCTCCCCTTTTTCAGAGAATAGAAATACAAGTGAAGGAATCAAGGTAAGGATAAAGCTTTGAGAGAATCAACTTTCACAAGGATTACAGCACCAGGAGAAAAGTTATTCACCATTTGAAAGAAAACAGAGCCATTGCAACAAAGAGCACAGTAAAATAGAGGAAATCTGGAAATTTGGGCAGTGCTTTGTTCTTTGACTCGCTCTATTTTTGCCTTTATATCTTCAGAGGCTAACACAGTGCTTGGCACGTAGTAGGCACTTAATATTGTTGATTGACTGATTTGGTCATGAGGAGAAGAGGATAAAGTTGGCAGAAGAGGACACACATGTATATTTCAGCACTCTAAATAGATATATCAGAAGGATGAGTAAAAGAAAAGCAATCTCAAAGGTAATGGAATAAAATTTGTTTTTTTACCAATCCTAAATTCACTAAGTTGAGGCAGAGGGAGAAAATCCTTGCTATTTCCCAAATCATGTCCTGAACAATGGCAAGATAGGGACAGAGAAACTGAAACTGAGATATAATATACATCCCCTAACCTTTGCTCCCACACTACGAACACTCCTCATCTTTAAAAAAAGAAAAAAAAAGGGAAAGGGTACAGCAGAAGAAAAGGTTGAAAATAGTGGGGACCGGGAAGGAAAAGAGAAGCTGGGTTTTCTGTCTGGTTTCCCTTCTTTCCTACCAAGATCAAATGAAATAATCACCTCAATTAATTTCATTAATTAATTAAAGAAGTAAGTTTGTCAGTCTGGTAGGATCATAGAAGTTAGAGTTGAAAGGGACTATTGGAATCATCTGGTTCTCATTTTATAGATGAGAGAATTGAACCCCCAAAAGGTGCAATGTCTTGCCCAAGATTACACAGGCAAAGCCAGAATTTAAATCCAGTTATTCTGACTCCAAATCCAGTGCCCCTTCCAGTACACTATGAGATAACCCCTGAAGGATTCAAGTGTGGAACAGGCTTCCAATCAGATTGCAATAAGCTCATATTTACTTAGTTTTTTAAGATTTACAAAGAATTTTTAAATGAAATACATGAATGAATGAAAAGGCATTTATTAGGTGCTTACCATATGCCAGGTACTGTGCTAAGTACTAGAGATACTAATAAAATATGAGGTAGTTCTTGCCCTCAGAAAGTTTAGATTATAATAAGATAAAACATAAAGGGGAGTTTTAGTCACAGGGATGATATAGAGCTACATGGCAGTGGATGGACAGATCATTTTCCAGAAGCAAAGTGTTGATTTGATTACTGTGCCAGGAGTGAGAGGTAGAAAGTGGGTGAGGGAAGGACCCAAGTCTGCTGGCAGAACAGATGGCAAGATGGCTGGGTGGATGGCTGGATGGCATATGAAGCATGATGTGGTTTGGAGCAAGGCTAGAAATAGCAGGCTAGCTGAGCTTACACTCATTTGCTCACCAATTGTGAAGGATGCCATTCCAGATGCGGGGCAAGATGGATATCCTCATAATAATGCTGCAAGATAAGTAATATTTGTTTATCTCCATTTTACAAATGAGAAAGCAGGTTTGGAGATTGACTTCCCATGGTCATACAACTAATAAGAGTTGGAGCTAGAATTCAGATCTCCATCTATGTGACTCCAACTTTAATAGATTTTTTTACTACAACATACAGTCTCAAAATTCAATGTGAAAAAAAGTCTGCCCTTCAGGATGTTACTTGAATTTCCAGTCTGTACACAGAATTGTCCTTGTAATAGGGATACTGAAGAATTATAGTTTCAGTGGCACTAGGAAGGCCCCTTTCCCTTTCAAAATGTCCCTCCCAATACTGGGTGATGCCTGAAATTTTACTATTAGAGTTTCACACTTTTTGCATTTGTAAAGCACTTTATATTTTACAGATCATCTTCTTTACAACCATCTGCCCTTTGAAATAGATGACATAAACACTGTTAACTTCATATTACAGATATGGAGATGAAGACTAAGAAAGAGTCAATGATGTGTAGGTATGCCTAGGTCTTCTGATCTAAGGATTTATACCCTGTTTAAATCCAAAGACAAGGCTGGGAGACAGAACACAATTAAGCCATCTCTGTCATTAAAACTTAATGAGAATGAGTTTATCAGAGAGGGTTTTGATAGGGAAGAGGTAGAAAGAAAGAACATGAAGGCAAAACAATAAAGGGAAGGCATAGGAAGGGAGAGGCCACAGGCACCACAGAAGCAGCTAATCTCAGGGAATGGCTGAACAAATTATTCTATGTGATGGTAATAGAATACTATAATGCTATGAGAAATGATGAATACAAAGAATTTAAAGAAACAAGGGAAGATATGTGGACCAGTACAGAGCATAGTCTGCATATGTACATATACATATATATGTATATATGTATGCATATATATATATGTGTGTGTGTGTGTGTGTGTGTGTGTGTGTGTGTGTGTGTGTATGTTGATTACAATAATATAAGTAAAAACAACACTACAAGGTGCTGAAACTCGAATTATTTTAATGAGTATTCTAGGTCCTACAGAATTGATGAAGAAATATATCTCACTCCTCTTAGTAGAGAAGTAAGGGGAATTTTGCATGTGCCTTCAGACTTAGTTGTGTTTTTTTGTTTTGCTTACTGTTTTTCTTTGGTACTAGAGAATTTTCAATGGGAGGCGGGTAATATTTTGGGAAATAACTGCAGTGTAAGAACAGAAGACATCAATAAAACAAAAAGAAAAGCCTCACAATATTTCACAATTTTACCTAGTCCTGAACTTGTTTCTACTGCATAATTTTGCACTTAATTATTCATTCACTCATCAAACATTGAGCATACTCTATACAAGGCTATGTGTTATCTGGCATTGTTTCCTCATTACTTCTTATGTATACATCTTGTCTTCCCAAATGGACCATGAACTACTAAAGCCTAGTAACTATAGCTTCTCTTCTCTTTCTTTTGTTTCAGTGTCCTTCTGTACTTAGAACAAGGCCAAACACATGATGAACTATCAATAAATGCTTGTTGACTGATTAGATTGACACTGGTAATACAGAGAAACAAAGAGGATTTATATAGTTGGTCTTGGTTAGAGAAGAAATAAATCAGAACCCAGGGTCACTGAGCATCCACAGAAACTACAAAGCTATCTTTATCTACCATACCATATAACTTGGGAACAGATATATCACTTTGCAGCAACTGCCAGTGACTTCCTCTTGGGAGCACTATGAAAGTCCTTTGATAGTTGGGGGAGGGGGAATATGGAGTGGGATCAGCATTGGTTGTTTTTTGGGGTGTACTTAGAGAAGGAAAGGTTTCCCTAGGTTATGTCAAATGTTATATGATGAGATTGACTGGCCATTTCCTATTTTTTATGTACTTTTCTAATATAATTTACTTGCTAATGCCATATTTTGGGAAGACCATTGGTCTTAGAGTCAAATGATCTAGCTCCATGTCCTAAGTGAAATTTATTAGCTATACCATACCGGGGAAGATACTTCCCCCTCTGGGCTTCAGATTCCTCAGTTAAGATCTGGAGATAATATTTCTGTTACCTACCTCAAAGGGTTGTTGTGAAGAAAGTACTTGATAGGGGAAGCTAGATGGCATAGCGGATAGAATACGGGCCCAGGAATCGGGAGGACCTGAGTTCAAATCCAGCCTCAGACCCATAACATTCACTAGATGTGTGACTCTGGGCAAGTCACTTAATCACAATTGCCTCACCAAAAAAAAAAAAAGTGCCTGGAAAACTTAAAAGAGCTATGTGAATGTGAATTTTGGTTGTTATAATTATTACTGCCTATAGGTATTCAATCAACTAATCAGTCGATAAAGCATTTATTAAGTGCCAACTATATGTCAGACACTGTGGTAACTGATAGAGATATAAAGACAAAAATTAGGAATTTGCACTCTAAAGGGGAAGACAACATACACATATATAGGTGTATGTAAAAACCATTTGAAAAAAAGATATGAGGTAGCCTTAGGAAGGGCACTGGCAGCTCCAGGGAAGGGAGGGATAGTGGATTATGAAGGCCTTGTGTATGTAAGTAACCCCAGTCCCAAAGCCCATTGGTATTTGACTCTCACTTTATTGATGGAGATCAAGGCCCTACCCAGTTGTCTCCATCAATAAGGAAAGACTCCCATACCAATGATTTTTGGAGTTGTGGTTACACATGGAAGATGGTTCTTGAACAGAGTCATGAAGGAAACCAGTGATTCCAGAAGGCAAAGGTGAGGAGGAATAGAATACAGGCATGGGGGATATCCAATACAAAGACAGAGATGAGAGATGGACAGTTGAGTGTGAGGGACAGCAAGGCAGCCAAGGTGGCTGAACCACAAAGTATATGGGTGGAGAGTAATGTACAATAAGTCTGGAAAGGTAGAATGGGGGCAGATTGTGAAGTGCTTTAAATGTCAAATAGAGATACTTATATTTGTTACTGGAGATAATAGGGAGCCACTGACATTTATTGCGTGTAGGGGGGCAGACTTGGACTTTAGATATTGTATTGAGATCAAATAGATAAAACCATCTGGGCTTACTATCTTCATTGTGTCCCATTTCCCAGTGTTTAGAACTCCCCAGCTCAACACTATATGTGACGCCAAGCCAGTCATTTCATTGCTTTAGGCCTCAGTTTCTTCATGATAATTTCTTCTAGCTCAAAACTGATGTCTGTAAACTATGAAATATCCCACTGACAGCACTGAACAAGGTGCCTGCTGTCCATAACAATTCTCTCTGGTTCTAATCTTTCCCACTTCTCCCACCTGCTCTCCACCAAAGCTTATTTACTCCAAGTGCCATCCCTTATAGGTCTTGCTTTTTATTTTCTAAGTTGAACAAGCAGGCTCCCTACTCTGATAAAGTGGTCACTGTTAAGCTGTTAATGGCTGTATTAAAACGATAGACCTTTTTTCCCTTCATTCTCAGGTTTTTGATAGAGGCTTTCTAAAGATCTTGAGGAAGTGGTCTGGGTTAGATATGTCTTATAGCCACCCCCAAATCACCTTTTAGAAGCCTCAGATGACTTTAAGAGCTGGATTTGCACACTGATTGCCGCAAAAATGACATAGAAAAAAAGCAATTCTTAATGCTGTGCTTTAAACCATTCAAAGCCACATGATTTATTTAAGACTATCCAAAGTCTAAAACATAGACAGGAGCCCTTGCATTTTCTCCAGCAGGAGAAGAAAGTCTCAAATGCAG